TGTGCAACACCTGGCGTCCGTTAATGGATGTCAGGCGCTGCTGTCGCCCAGGTGCGTCGCTGAGGTGGCTCGTTCTGCAGCTGCCACGTGGACTCCACTACGCACGTTGTGTTTTTTTTTTTTTGAGTCCTGACACGTGGCGTTGTAAAAAAAGTGTTAAGAAATCGTTGTTGGAATATCGCTGTCCTTTTCCTTATTGGTGTCACCCCGACGAAGAATACTAACGGTTCCTAGATTATGAATTGTAAGCACAAACAACCTTCGCAGTGCTGAATGAGGATGCACTTGAGGTCGTTTTTTTGCGAGGTTAACCTGTTGAACAGGTTAAGCTCGCAAGTGCAAGCTCGTTCATATGTCCGTCGTCGTGAACCGTTTCCCACAAAAGTTGCTCACTACCTCAAACGTGCCAAACTCATTGACTCCATTAGACTCACTCTACGCTCTAAAACCCCCGACTCCTCTCTTNCTACACTCAGATGATTAAGACCGAACGCTGATATCACCTTTTCAAACCAAGGACGAACGCTAACGCTCGCTAGCTTTATAAGACCGAACGTTCCATAACTGACTGACCTGTGTCGAGCACTGTTAGGACGAACGTTCCAATGGCCGATTCGGGCGAATGCTCAGAATACAATTCCGAACGTTCAGAAATTGGCAGACCACTATTTGGTCGAGCCATTTGGACGAACGCGCGTTTCTGCAGAATTATGGAGAATCGCACCAGGTTTTCCAGAAACCCCGAAACTCCAAGTTTTCATCCCCAAATTCCCAGATTTGCATCAAATACAGTATATTTCAATAATCAAACAAAAGATCCAACTCCCCTTACCTCTTGAAGACTTCCTTGCAAACCTTGAATCAATCTCTGCACTGTGTTCCTCCTCTGCCGTTCCAGTCCTCTGCTACAGTGTCCAGCTCTCCCTCTCTTCTCCCAGATTTTGCAGCAACTCTTCCAATCTGCAGAACCTCCAAAAATCTCTTTGAATCTACGGACCCTTCCCTTTAAGAGGAAGAAACTCTGCACTCCTCAGCTTCTCCCTTCCCTTCTTAGTGCTGTGCCCACTTTGAAGAGCTGATGATGGAGGTTCCTGATGATGGCTGGAGCACTTTAAAGTGGGAAGACCCACCACCCAACTGCTGCCCACTTTTGCTGAATGGGAAGCCACTTCATTCTCCACGTGCAGCCGCCCACTTCCCCGCCGCCCACTTCCCCACTTCCAGAAACGTGCAGCCGCCCCCTTCCCTACCACTCAGAAATGTGCCTCTCTTCCCCACCACTTCACTCATTTTAAAAAAACAACAAAAGGAGCTCGGTCCTTACAGTCTTCGCAATCAATGACCGATGCTCGTCTGTCAAGCGTTCGTTCAAAGTACATATATACTTTGTCGAAAAAGAGTGACGAACACTCAACTGCATAAACCAAAATAAAATCAGCAAAACTACTAAACCCAATAACCCAATAACCACAACAAAAGGATACGAACCCCAAACCTTAACCCAAACCAAAAAACCATGGTACGAAATGGAATGGAAAACCACTTACCTTCGTCGTCGGACAATGGTCACCGGACCTTGCCATTCCGCACGATAACTTGTACGAAAAACACCACCTTTACGAAAATGCAGGGAGACAACACCACGCACACAGAACAATCACATAGAAAGCAAAGTGAAGAGGCACGAAATGCGGCCTTTAGGAGACGGCACCTTCACGAGACTGTTTCCAATGAAACAGAGAAAGGGGTATTTTCGAATTTTCAGTTAAAAGAAGGGTTACGGACTTCCATTTCGAAAGTTTTAATAAAATATTCTTTTTAAAACAAACCAATGAAAATAGGACCCGTGGTGTGACATCCCAAAAATACAGTCATAAACCATATAATTTAAAAATCACTTTTAATAATAATCCAAAACAGTTTTTCCAACTAAAAACAAAAAGATAAAGAAGCGAACGAATGCTCAAGGACGAACGTCCTTGAGCACAGTCTTACAACTTCAAAGGACGAACGCGCAAAGCCGCACGTCTTACAATCAGAGTTACAAAAATCAAAGCCGAACGTAAGTTGAAACTGACCGAACGGTTTACACATGAAAATACCGAACGGTCGAACTTAAGCAAAATAAAGGAATGAGGTGGTCGAACGACCACTCCAACAAACACTTAAACTTCTGGCCGAGCGTCTCACTGCTCGGTCTTCACTTCAACTTCAATCAGATTCTCTTCGTTCAGGGCCTCTTCCAAACGCTTGTCTCCCTCTGCTCACATCCACACGGATGATCATTGCAATGATAAGACGGACGTACAAAACGAGACAACACAAGGAAAAACGCAGGGTAAGCTTATGTAACTTAACTCATGCATCAACATATCAAGTAAAACAACAATTCATCACACATCAATCATGAATTAACGTACGTACTAAATAAAAACCCAACACTCGACCAACCGTCCGGACTGTACGAATTCTGCGTAGTTACAGGCGTTCACGCACCCGGGTGGTGTGGTAACTGGCATCCTCATCAGCTGCCACCCGAGGTTAGTCCGTCCGTCCAAAGTACCCCTAAAGACGTCAACCTCCTGCCGTTCCCACGCATGACGTGCGTCCTCTACTTGAGGACGAGCACTCACGGAACATCAGGATCGAACAGCCAGCATTAACTATCCACAGTCATACTTTACAACTTTCAACATTCATCCATGAGTCGTTCCTGCCTGGAACGCTCGTTCAACATTCATAACTTTCATTTCATCTCAGATACTGTTCATCATTCACAATTCATCATTACATGATCATTTTCATCATTAATAGCGAAACCATAAAAAACCGAACGTTCTGTCCCCCAATAAGACCGAGGACGAAAAGACGCTCGTTCGAACACGAACGACAGAGTTACAATTACTTTTGGGAATAGTCGAGTAAGGTCCTGTTCATTGGACGAACGTAATTACCTTGAGAATAGTTGAATGAACTGACGCTCGTGAACTTAAACCAGTACTTCAAGAATAATTTAAGTGGGAAGGCTCTAAGCCGAATACATCGAATGCGAACGTCTCAGTAATGCAAGAAAGGTTCTTATGAAAGTTCTCGTTCTGAATCCACTGCCGGTAAATGACCGAGCGTAGAAATCTAAGGTTGGACGTACGCTAATTTGCTAGAAAAGAGTACGAGCGCTCAGAATAATACCGAGCACCATTTAGGGCGAGCGCTTAGTATAAGACCAAGCCTCATTTGGAGCGAGCGCTTAGTATAAAACCGAGCACCAATTAGAGCGTACGTTCAGTGTAAGACCGAACGCTTCCCAGTACGAACGTCAGGTTGGAGACCGAACGTTTAATAACTTAAATTAACAGAACTTGATAAATAAACTAAGGAACTTTTGAAGAAGTGTTTACGAACGGGAAAGTGCACTGTTACATATACATATACAATTACAAAAGAAAGAAGTTTATCAAAAATACCAGATTCAACAGTGCTTGACCGAACGCTCAAGCAGAGTATTTTAGAACGAGGACGCTCGTCCTCGACCAGGATTCTATCCAGATGATAGAATCCCATTTCTATTATGTTTGCCAAGAAAACCGAACGGTCAATGACCGTTCAGTAACGAACGCATAGGATCATGGGGGAAAATTTCTTATTCAATTTCTTTTTACATTCCAGTTCATCTCTCATCAAAATCACATAATTTCATTCGTTCATATCAACCCAAATTTCAGATTTCATATATCTCATTTCATCCAATATCTCATACATCATACGTAACTTAGTCATATATCATTTCCATTCAATAAATAACGAACGTCCATGCAACTCTCCCATAGCAACATCATACAGTCAAATAACGAACGTTCATACCATTCATTCATATCATCCATCATGCATTATTTCCGTTCAGTTAAATAACGAACGTTCACACACAGCATACATCAAAACAGTTAAATTAAATAAGCTTCCCTTACCTCTAGGATGACCGAACGTCCACAGACGCACAAAGACACTCCCTCCCTACAGAATCTCCTACCGTTGACGCTCGTTAATCTACTACAAGAACGAACCCCAACACCCAAAATCAGAATTATTCCCACTTTAAGAAAGATGACGAACGTACAACTCGGAATTGAGTTTGCATGCATGGAAAACAAACGACAACAGTGAAGAGAAGGTCTTACCGGCCTTGATTCACGAACCGAACGGTTCTTCTGGAGTCCTTGACGTCGTGCGTCCTTCCACGCTGCCGGAACCCAGAATTGGAGGAGATGAAACGGTGGTTTCTAGAGAGAGAGAAGGTGCAGAGAGTGTAGAGAGAAGGTGGAGAGAATGAATTCTCAGAAATGAAGCAAAGAGGGGCGTGCAGAGGGAGGGGAATATTTCAGATTCTGAGTTTTGCTTTCCACTCCTGCCAGCGCACGTTCCCATGCTGCTAGCGCACTCCACTACGCTCCTGTCAGCCCATGCCGGACGGTCGTCCACTCTGAGGTCGCCAAGTGTTTTCCACTACTACCGGACGCACGTTCACACCCTGGCAGTCAGCTTTCCACTGCGTTTCTGACTCACCTCCATGTGCAACACCTGGCGTCCGTTAATGGATGTCAGGCGCTGCTGTCGCCCAGGTGCGTCGCTGAGGTGGCTCGTTCTGCAGCTGCCACGTGGACTCCACTACGCACGTTGTGTTTTTTTTTTTTTGAGTCCTGACACGTGGCGTTGTAAAAAAAGTGTTAAGAAATCGTTGTTGGAATATCGCTGTCCTTTTCCTTATTGGTGTCACCCCGACGAAGAATACTAACGGTTCCTAGATTATGAATTGTAAGCACAAACAACCTTCGCAGTGCTGAATGAGGATGCACTTGAGGTCGTTTTTTTGCGAGGTTAACCTGTTGAACAGGTTAAGCTCGCAAGTGCAAGCTCGTTCATATGTCCGTCGTCGTGAACCGTTTCCCACAAAAGTTGCTCACTACCTCAAACGTGCCAAACTCATTGACTCCATTAGACTCACTCTACGCTCTAAAACCCCCGACTCCTCTCTTCCCTCTCTCATAAACCACCGCCTTTTTGACTCTTTCGTGCTCACCCATGCCATTCGTTCTTCCCCCTCTGTAGATTTCGCTCTTTCCCTTGTTCATGCCCTTGAAAAAAATTCCAATTTTTCCCACACCCACCACACGCTCAATGCACTTGCAACTGTTCTTGCCAAGGCTGGTAGATGCTCCGCGCTCAAATCCCTCATTGATGCTATCCAAGCCAACCGATTCGGCACCATTCGGATCAGCTTCATGAATCTCATGCAGTGGCATGCTGCAGCTGGGGACAGTCCATTCATGACCCTGCAATGCAAGCGGAAGAACCTTATTTATTTCCTCACAACTCTCTTCTACTGCTGCAGCCTCTCTTCGTCTCCCCTCTTTCCAGAGACTCTTTACTAGCAACTCTTTGGTGGCAGAGTCAGGCACTAAACCAGAATTCTTCATGTCTTCTGTGACATCCCAATTGTAACATCCCAAAATATAGTAATTACCATAATTGAGAATTAATTACAATTAACAGTAAACAGCAAACAGTCTTTACATTAATAAAGCAGAGTTCAAAAGCCGAACGGCTTGAAGAAAAAAAAATAACGTACGCTCAAACAGAAATAGAGATAATCAGGACGAACGGCTTTACAAAATACTTAGCCGAACGTTCAAACTACTCTAACATTTACAGTACTAAACTAACGAGCGCTCTAAAGCTCGGCCTTTACTTCCACTTCCACCAGATTTGCATATTCTAAATTTTCTTCTTCCAGAATTTCTTCAAGAGATGCACCACCATCTGCTCACATCCACACGGATGATCATTGCAAGACAAGACGAACGTACATGGACAATTGACAACACAAGGAAAACGAAAGGGTAAGCTTATAATATTTAATTCATACATCCAACATACACGTTCAACATTTCAATGCACACGCACAACATACAATTTAACATAATTCATCATAGTAATTTATATATATATATATACTAGACGACCGTCCGGACTGTATGAACCGTGTAGCTACAGGCGTCCTTGCACCCGAGTGATGTAGTAACTGGGATACACTCAACAGCTGCCACTCGAGGTTAGCTCTATCCAAAGTACCCCTAAGGAATAGAACCTCCTGCCATTCCCACACATGACTACCCCCTTCTACGTGAAGATGAGTATCACGGAATATCAGGATGGACCAAGCCAGCATTAGCTAACCACAGTCATACTTTACCAATT